TCCTCAGGCCGCTACCGGCACTCAGACACCATCTCAAGTTCCATTTGCATTTCTTTTATGACTCACATCACATTTATGGTAGATGAGGAAGTCTAAACCCAAAACCATGGGCCAAGAGCTGGAGGAGGTGACTAAAAAAGCGTGTGCCCCGACTATCGCGTAGTTCCAGCTCAAAACCCAGACCCGTCTCCTTTTCCTAACCCGGGCTCTGACTCACTGTCATCCTCCCTTCCGGTCAGCATAGTACCTCAGGGGAGTAACGCCGTGTTAAATCAACCGCCAGCCTTCCGCTCGGACGTTAAAATCGTGGCAGACGGTAATAGTGCTTCACCTTACTTCGCTACTTCAGCCCTTACGCACCCCCTTCCCTTGCCCACCTGGTTTACTGTCTTTTTCCAACCCACATCCTCCCGCATACTAGCTCCTCACATGTTCGAAATTGGCAATGATTTAACTGAGTGGTTATTTGACCTTGATATCATCCTCGTTACGGTCCCCGCCGCCCAAAAATCTTCTCAGAAACGCCCTTTCCTTTCGCTTGCAAAATCTTGACCAACCCCTTTACCTCTTCTGCCCCCACCGGGTTCGCCACACTCCAACAGAGTCCCAACCAAACCTTTAACGACTTTGTGACCGAAGCTAACTGGTTGGCGTCCCTTGCCTTTCGCTATAGTCCTGTGCGGGAACAAAAACACCTAATCCTGCATCGTTTCATGACTGGATTTTTTATCCTAAATTAACCGACGCCCTAATCGTCCACGCCGCCTAAACGGCGAAATCATCTTTTTGAGATCATAAGGACTGTGGAATAGAGTAGGTTGGATGAAGTGGGTGTTCATATGTAGAGTACTAGCAGTAAAAACAATGTATAAGTACGCAGCGTAATCAACTGTTATCAGATGCTGAAAGCGTTATGTGATCATCATAATTGGGTCGATTTACCCGCCGCGAATGTTTTACAATTGGGTCAACTGAATTATTTAAACCTAAAAACCCTCCTAATAATTAAGTGAGTCTAATAGTCATTCTGGTGGATTCTACATGCTTGCTTAGGAAATCCTGTATAAGCAGTCAGCTTACTGTTCACTCATGGGGGATTCCATACGAGCAGTAGTTTGGGCGGGTAAATCGACACAGGTGTGATTAAATTCACGGCTCATTGTGAGCCTCGTAGCTGAATGGTAGAGCGTTGGTTGCGCAAAAGTCTTACCTACTGTGTGGGTTCGACTCCCACCGAGGCCGCAAATTTTCCACAAATGGGTCAGCTAGGTTATTCAAGTCTGCCAAACCCTCCTAATAATAACTTTATTCGCCTGACATTTCGTATTCGAGATCGAACTCATCTTCAGAGATAACAGCAGCTAAGGTTACTTTGTACATAGGAAGTTGCAGTATGTATAGGATGCAATCGCTAGGCGATTTACGGGCCACCAGAATATTAACAAGTGAAGTGACCTCCCCAACCTACATTCGATGCTGAGACTCAGTTTGACCAAATCAGTCAGCCACACGGGGAGCGCGCACATGAATTCATTTTCCAACACCAATGTCGGTGAACCAGGTGGCCAAGGAAGTCCCCACGCCAACCTGCAACACGGGTGCTGACATTTCAGCCGATCTCCAAGCCATTAGCGCACCGGAGAACAATCATCAT